TGCAAATGGTTCTTACCAATTGTTCAATTCGATTGTAGTACATTTCTCAGTTTCGGGTCTTTTGTTGTAGCTAGTAAAGCTTTTTAAAACTTGATTTATCTTCGCCTTTTAATTTACTGCAACAATCTTTATTTAAATCACGATCCTTAAAAAAAGATAGCTGAAAACATACTTTTTTCTAGCAAATTACCAAACAACAAACAAATCAGAAAATTAATGAAGTCTCTCTGTACCATAGGATTTGATGCAAAGTGCGTTTACACTTTTACAATATGGCATATATGCTGAAGTAAGCTTATACTGAAATCAAAATAAGCACCTTGACTGCAATTGCATCATAAAATTTTCCCGTTTAGCTGGCTGTTCTTTAATTCATAGTCATTAGCAGCACCACTAAATCATGAAGTAGCATTTGCTTTTTTTTAAATGCACCGGTTGTTTCATTTCATACCTCCTAATCAGAAGCCTCTTTCTACACGCGGCAATATAAGAAGGCGCTATCGTATCGAATACAGAGTAAATGACATGTCGGATTAACATCTTTTGAATATCAATCCAAAAACTTAAGGACGAAACCAATAGCACTACGTTTTCGTACAATAAAAGAACAAACAACTTCAATCGACTACTATTAAGACCTCGTCGCACCTTCTCCTGCTTGTTATGCGCCTGCAGTCGACGGATTTATAAAACACTGCCTGAATAACAAGATAAGATAAAAACAGATAGAGTGAATGATGGATCTAATGTCTCGGTAAAAATATACAAAAAAATGTATTAAAAAGCACGAGTGAGTTTTGATCCTAAAACTTGAATACTACAGCAACATCAATCCAAAGCCAACAATAATGATAATAGAATTAACACACAAGAAACAACAGCAGTGATGATACCATCAGCAGTACAAATAACAGTATTACAAAAACGACCTCAACTTCATCAGCGACAACGACACCAGCACTAGAGTCTAAAGCAACAATTAAACATCATACAAAGCGGCAACAACTCCAACGCTATTGGCAGAAGTTTCAAAAGCACTGAAAACAACACAAATAAAATAATCAAGAACGACAAACTCTACAGCAACAATAGAAGCAGCGACAACTACACTAGCAAAAAATTCAGGAGCAACAGATACAACAAAATGACAATAAAAATAGTAGCAAAGATTGCAGTAGAAAATAGTGATAATACCAAGACAAAAACAAAGTAATAAGACCAACCAAATTAGCACTCACCATCCATGTGTACATTATCGACCGATGGTAAGAGTACGCTTTGGGTGTCGTCGGCGCCCACGGCAGAACCCCTTTAAGTTCCACCGCACGGAGCCGGGGTCGAGCACGGCCATACAACGAAAAATGAGGTATGGCTAAATATTTGAAATTCAATGTGTACTACGATAACTTCAGCATACTAGGATATGAGGCATCTTTTGATTCTTTCAGAATTTTGTGACATTTTTCCAATTTTTTAGAGCCGAGAAGCAAATTAGAAGTGTGTGGACGGAGAATTTGTACGAATTTGGGAAAGTGAATCGATTTAAGTCGAACAAGATGGCGGTTTGTATGGTGTTGGCACTGCGAATGGCTTTCCGTAGGCTGCGAAGTAGCTTGAACGCAAAATGGTGGGTTTTCTGGGACAGATCAAGCAAGCTACAAGCACTACCTAAGATGGTGATCTCCTTTGACTTGGTTAGTCTGTCTATTACTGTCAACTCCTCTGCTGCAACTCTACCTTTTTAACCCTCCTTCTTCTGATGCATTGCGTCCAGAATCGATAGGTCTATAAGCTCTGGATAAAAGCTCTTGCGATTTAAAGGGGACCAAAGGGTTCTCAACGGATATCGTGTTGCGAAGAGTCAAATGTTTAATCTTAATATTTAGGTCCTGCTCCGGAGCTCTATCTTCCTCTTTAATCTCCTTATCACCTTCCATATCCTTCATTTTCTTAATTGACGTGAAAACTGTGGCAATCTTTGCGAAGAGACCGATACTTCGGAACAAATTTTTGATCGCGCTGACTTAAACATTTGCCCAGGCAGAAATGATCCAGCGCATTATTGTTTTTGTGTCAGCTTTGTTTATGTTGCCAATATTCTAGATTATTCGCACTACAGAGAGTGCTAAAGACATAAACGCCAGTAGAGACTTTTATACCTGACGATTATACCGGCATCCATTGGCTAAATGTTGAGGCCGAGTAGGCGGAGAGGCTGGACATTGATGTTGTTGAGCTGCACGTCGTCCACAACATAGGATGGCGCATTGTTAATGAACAGGAGAACCTCTCTGTCTTGACCCTAAACACTTGTCCGCTCTTTTCAAGATAAACACGCCAATAAAAACTGAAAAAAGGTTGCAATCATACCTTTATAGCTTTGTCGACACCTAGAATACAACGGGGTAAGAGCCCCACTATCGTCTTACACTCTGAAGTAGCTTGGATGAAGCACTCGTAGTTATAAGGTAAATATAATTCTCTTTTATCATTGTGCTGGTGCAATCCTCAGTAAGTGCGAATATGTGACCAAGCTCATGGGAACCACTCAAATTTAAATCTGATTTATCATTGGCTAATTATGATCTGGCAACCTAATAATAACCCATAAGCAAATAGACGCACAGTATCCACTATCCGGATACCTGCAATATTTAATATTGATAAAAACGTATTGAGCTTATGAAAACTTAATATAATGGATTTCTCCATAAACTCACTCCCTCTTTGTGTTGCGTTTATTCAAGATAACCATCCTTTGTAAAAAATTTTTTTTCAACGAACATTTATACAAGAAGCCCAAAAAGAACTTTAACGGCATTTCATTTTAGTCTTTGAATCTGCTCAATTACTTACAACTAAGCAGCATGAACTTTACTTGCTCACGCGACGCGATCCTAAACCAAAGTTCGGGATCATCAGATGATCCAAAGAGATTAGTCACCGCAGATCATGGATGACTATTTATAACCGTGGGGCCACAATAGCCTCGAAGGTGTTCAACAACCTAATAACTCGAGCTTATAAAATTCTTACTCATACGATACCGTACGGTGCGAGGAAAGTAACTAATCACTCATACACTGACGACGCACTGCAACGATTTTGGTGCGCCATTATCAGAAGCTGGAACGCGATTTGAAGTGAAGGAAATTCCTTTTTCGTTCACGCCCTGTATCGAGCGGCGCGAAGACACTCCAGGAGAGCACTCTATTGTTGACTTACGCCGGCGTATATGTCGTCTGGCTCGCAACAACATCTAATCGTTTTAATTATATGTCCGTAAAAGGTGTCCACCGTGTTACATGGAAAGACCGCGAACATTTCAGAAGGAAAGGATGACTTGGTGTGTTCACGAATAATACCTGCACATCCTACAATAGGTCGGTCGCTATGAGAAGAGGCTCTCAGAGCTCCAAAATCTGGCAGGCTACTTGTCGATTACTAGACTTTATCTTCTTTTTTTGGATTTCAACGTGTTCTTTCGACTTCTCTTGTCAGTGTTCTTCTTTTGTGTATACGATGCTACACAAAAAAAGGCGTCATGTACAAAGTCGTGATGCCTTGTCGTAGTTATCAGAATTTGGTCATAGCAGCCAAACTAAATGGCATAGTAGGTTCTTAAGGGGTCACATACGCGACAAGAAACGCGATGGAATGCATCGCGTCGGGACTCGATACGCTTTTGGCCACGAAATTAACAGCATGAGTTGCATCATCAGTAGCATTGCCTTTATCGCAATCGATCATCAAATTTTGCGACTCAATGTCATCGGCAGATACTCTCCCGCGAAGAGTATAAAACAGGTGTGATGAAGCTTCAAGAGGAAAAAGAGCTAGAGGGTGTCTCGCGTTTTTCACGAAACATGGCGTCAACCCTGTTGACGCATAAACTGCATTGTCGTTTGCAATTTTAGCGAGTAATGGAAATAAGCTCAATAGTGCAAAAGATGTTGTATAATGGCGTATGACATCTTCAAGCACTCTGTTCGTACGCTCCACTTGCTCATCCTTATCTGGATGACTACCGTAGATATAAGAAATCGCGTGCCCGATACTTGCCTTAAAAGTCGACGTTAGGCGCAGGTCTCATTCGAAATAATGAATTTTGGTAAGCCGTGGTGGATAAATATAAGATCAAGAAAGATCTTCGCGTTTGTCTCCGCCGTAAAGTTCGCACAGACCGTAGCTGACTGCACTAGTTTGCCAAATAGATCCAATAGAACCAATACGCCTGTGCATTTCAATTTATACAGTGGAAGACCAACGATAAAATCCATGCTGCATGAGCGCCAGGCTTCCGTGTCAATCAAAAGCGGTCGCAATGAGGCTTGTGAAGACAGCGTATCCTTTATGAAGACCTCTATGCGCGAACAAAATAATTATTTCATGAAGATCCAGCTGATGGTCATCTGGGTTGCGATGTACGTTCGCGGCCATTTCATGTGTGTTTTTCCGGCCGCGCATGTACAAGTAAATACAGAAATAGTGATGCTTGAGTGAAGAGTGCTAGTGTAACGGGGTGAATCGTTACATAACAATTTATAAGAAATTGTTAATAGAATATAACTATAAGAGTTATATTCTCAGAATATTGTCATAAGGACAAATATTCTGTAGCACTTACGAGTAGTTCCTAATTGGTTGATATAGGCCGTTATATCAACCAACGAAGACGCGCCACGACAGACGCACGCAATGAGTGGTGAGCAGATAGTTGATTTACACATTTGCGTATAGACATAGTTAGATGAAGATAAATAGTGATTTATTGCAGACATTAACTATACTAAATACAGTTCTACTTTTTACTTTAACCAAGTACTCGCTTCTTCTTACCGTCTTCCTCTGCACGTACGAGTGTACGTGAAGTTACGAGGCACCGCCTTATTCTGTCATCAGAATAAGTAGCTTGTACTGTCACCAGTACAAGCTTCAGGGTGCCCCGTTACACCTGGTAGCACTTCGTAGTCCGTCCAAGGACCGCGTTCACATCCAACATGAATTTGTTGGATGATGAAGATGACCAAAGCTTTCACGCTACGCGTGACGGCTACTCCCATTTGAGCGATGTCGAATGGGATGCGGTTGAACGAGTGGGTTCAACCATGGGCATCCATGCTGTTTGCGTCATGCTAGAGGCTCTCAGTAGAGATGCCTAACATGCTACTATCGCCAAGTTCATTCAAAATGAACTTGACGCAGAACGCGAGAAAGTAGCCTTGCTTCACCAACAAGGTTCTCAACAAGCAGAGTTGTTGAGAGAACAGGGTGCTCAACAGTTTGAACTGTTGAGACAGCAGCAGGCTGCTGCTGGTGGGTCGATGCATTCGCGTCGACCCGAAACCTTGAAGATTGACATCTTCAAGTATAGGGGAGTCGAAGAGGACTCCCTCTTGAGATGGTTCGTCAAATTGGGTGACGCCATAAGGGCGCGTCGCATCGACGATGGGGATATGCAAGTTGCATTTGCCCAGTCAAATCTGGCAGGACGTGCCAAGACTTGGGCACTGGGGCTTAAGTTGCACGACCCATATGCGTTTGGGTCGTTGGAAGTCTTCAAGTCGCGGCTCAGACAAACGTTTGAACCGCCTAGAGCTGAGTTCAGAGCTCGAACCGAACTCTTGAAGCTCAAGCAGGGTAAGCGTGATGTGCACGCTTACGCTCAACATATACGACATCTCGCGAGTTGTATAAGTTCCAACCCGGTGGACGAACACACGTTGGTTTCGGTGTTCATGCAGGGTCTTGCGGATGGTCCCGTCAAGACTCACCTGTTCCGGCTTGAACTAGATTCACTAGAACAAGCCATTTCCATTGCGGAGCAGGAAGACTTCAGTCTGAGACAGGCTCGCGCCAGCTCGACATCATATCGTCAACCGAGACGATATGACAGCGGAGGTCCAGAGCCGATGGAACTCTGTTATGTAGAGAGCAAGAAGGCTCGCTCTACAGACTACAAGAAGTTGCAGAGATGCAACAGATGTCAAAAGACAGGACACTACGCTTACGAGTGTAGTGCCCCTCGTCCAGTGTCTCGCAACACTGGGCGTATTGACCGTCCACCCATGAGAAAGGGGCGGGGACGTGGGTCCGCTGCTGGTGCAAAGACGCAACAACGGGATGGACCGTCAAAAAACGTACAGGATCAGTAGGTGCGGAGCACCCTACTGGTCCAGCAACGTCAAGAGAATTTGTAGCCTCTTGATGAAGGTTGCTCCCAACACACAAACGTTGTGCGTTGCTGCTCTAGGTAATGAGATCTCACTCATTACCTTGAAACTCGAAGTGACGAATAAGTTGTCCCTTCGAGCTCTAGCCGATTGTGGGGCGTCCAACAATTTTGTGCGACGCCAATCGCTAGAAGATGGTCACTTTAAGTTCCGTGAATGTGACATACCTCCTACGAGGATGACGGTACGTCTTGGGACAGGCGCATCCGTAACCGTCATGAAGCGTATAGTGAAGATTCACTATACGCTACAAGATACCCAATACGACGATGACTTTGTCGTATTGGATTTGGATGACAAATTTGATGTCATCCTTGGAATACCGTGGCTCAGAAGGTACGAACCACGGGTAAACTGGCAACATCGGACAGTAACGATGCCTGCCGCTTGTTCATTAGATGGCCATCTGATGAACGTTTTGGAGCGTCCACAAGCGTGTGGATGTACTACGAGTGAGTGCGATGGCCTCACTTGTGGTACGGTCGTTAGTACGACTGCACAAAACCTTAGTGTACCAAACGGTTACACTTCGGAGCAAAGTTCCGGCGGCTGTGAGGAAACACAGGCTGCGCCGAAGGTCCACCACTCGAATAAGTCGGGTGGACTGGGACAAAGATGTATCCCTAGAGGGGAACATCTAGAAGAGAAACAATCGATCGCTCAGGTTAAGCGAAACGATAATCCTAGATCGACGGGAGAGTCTTTCGTAGAGGATCTCGCTGTGGTTGCGCAACCCCAGCTAGAGGAAGTAAAGGGAATAAGTCCCAAGATTACAAATACGGCGGAAATAAGTTCCCCGAAACCCGCGGGAATAAGTCCCCGGGAAGCCGAAGGAATAAGTCCTTCGAAGCCTGAGGGAATAAGTCCCCAGGAAATGACAGAGACATTGAATGTCCTAGTCAATAACGGATCAAGTGTAGGCGCTTATACACTTGATCTGATTGCGCCTCCAAAGTTGACTTCGGAGATCACTCAGTTGCCAACGCTCGAACATAAAAGGTTCTTGCGTGATCTGCGTAGTGGCAAAGTCAAGCAGATCTGCGTACTCGTCGCTGACGACAAGTGTGTAACCGACATAAGGTCGGCAACAGTGATCACTGAGAACGAGAGAGTTCTCAGTAGTTCATCTATGGACGAGAGTGTCCTCGATGAAAAGACACGAGTTGAGCGATATGACTCCCAATCGTGGGAATCGCTCAAGACAAATCCTCTCTATGAAGATTTGGTTAAATTCAAGGATGTATTCCCTGAAACTGTTCCGTGCGAGTTACCGAAGGATAAATGTATTCGACACGAGGTCGAGCTTAAACCAGGCTCAAAGGACTGTGTCATGAAGCAGTGGCCACTGCCTCGTGAACAAGTACTTGCGATCGACAAGTTCTTTGCTGATCGTTTAGCAGCGGGCCATGTGAGGGAATCAACTTCCCCACATAGCTCTCCGACCTTCTGTGTGCGAAAATCAACAGGAGGGTGGCGGATAGTGCACGCGTTCAACAAATTGAACGCTGCAACGGTACCGGCTCAGACGCCGATACCGAGGAAGGACGTAATCATTGATGGTATGTCAAAGAGTACCATCTTTTCGTCCATGGATTTGATGGATGGCTTCTATCAATTCCTTATGCGGGAACGGGATATACCCTATACCGCAGTTAGCACGCCTAGCGGCATGCTCTGGGAATGGCTAGTAAGGCCACAAGGGCTTAGTAATGCCCCTGCCACGGGGCCACGTTCAACAGAGGTGTATCACATCTGTTGAGACCAGTACGAGAATTCGCGCCGAGTTATTTCGATGACGTATTCATTCATAGTCGGGCTATGGATGGAAAGTCGGACGTTGAGGTTCACAGGTACCACGTCCGACAGGTTCTTACAATCATGCGAAAGCATCAATTGTATGCAAACCTCAAGAAGTGTATATTTGCAGCAAGCGAAATACCACTTCTTGGGTGCATCGTTGGTAAGAACGGCGTACGTCCTGATCCCGAAAAGATCAAGGCGATCACCGACTGGCCTGTGCCGGTTGATGTCAAAGGTCTTCGAAAATTCCTTGGGCTAGCGGCGTATTTGCATAAGTATTCACGCAATTACGCCGAGATGAATGTGCACCTCTCTCGTTTGTTGAAAAGGAACGAGAGGTGGTTATGGAACGCTGAATGTCAACGCTCCTTTGAGGGTAACAAGCAGAGCTTGATACAATCCCCAGTCCTAGCAATAGCCGATCAGGACAGGCCATTTCATGTGGTCTGTGATGCCAGCGATTTCGCAATCGGCTGTGCATTAATGCAGTACGATTTTGAAGGCGTTGAACGCGTCGTCTGCTATCAGTCGCGTCAGCTGCAACCAGCTGAGCGGAACTATCCAGTGCATGACAAGGAACTCCTTGCCATGAAGTATGCACTCGCGAAGTTCAGAGTCTATCTATTAGGAGATAGACCCTTCATTGTTTACACTGATCATGCGTCATTACGCACGGCAGTGAACAGCCCGCACCTTTCACAACGAATGGCGCGGTGGTTGTCATTCTTTGCAGAATACAACTTTACGGTCGAGTACAAACCAGGACGACTTAATGTCGTCGTTGATGCACTCTCACGTCGTCCCGACCTTGAAACAGTCGCGAAACCCAACAGTGAGACAGTCACTGTTGCGGTTATGACGTCCTCAGTCCCATCTACAACGTTGTATGATGATGTGAGGCGGGCACACGCCCAAGATGGTGAGATTGTGAAGTTGTTGACACATCTCTCCCAACCATCTCGAGAATCGCTGAAACGATTATCGTCTGCGTATCGATCTGCATCAGATCTATACACTACTCGTAACGGTTTACTGTATTATACACCCGTTTCTGGTGACACACCACGTGTTGTCATTTTAGATGATACTGATCTGCGTTTGCGGATCATGTTCGAGTATCACGATGCTCCTATAGGAGGACATCGTGGCCGAGAGAAAACATATCTCACGGTGAGTCGAGACTTTTACTGGCCCCGCCAGTATCAGTTTGTGCGAAAGTATGTTCGCGCATGCGAAGTCTGCCAACGAGTGAAGTCAAGTCCTTCACTGCGTGCACCTTTACAGCCTCTACCGGTTCCAGCTGAGTGCTGGGAATCCATCTCAATGGATTTCGTCTTCGGGTTACCCAAAGACGCACGCGGGAATACGGGTATTCTCGTATTTGTTGACAGATTCAGCAAAATTGTACAACTTGTGGCTGTACCAGAGTCAATCACGGCAAGTGGCTGTGCTTGTGTCTTTATTGACACCATCTTCCGACATCATGGGTTGCCCCGTGAACTCGTATCAGACAGAGATCCACGATTCACTGCTGATTTCTGGCGTGGGCATCCATCTCAATGAACTTTGTCTTCGGGTTACCCAAAGACGCACGCGGGAATACGGGTATTCTCGTCTTTGTTGACAGATTCAGCAAAATGGTACAACTTGTGGCTGTACCAGAGTCAATCACGGCAAGTGGCTGTGCTTGTGTCTTTATTGACACCATCTTCCGACATCATGGGTTGCCCCGTGAACTCGTATCAGACAGAGATCCACGATTCACTGCTGATTTCTGGCGTTCCGTGTTCAAATCACTCGGAACGCGCTTGAAGATGTCGACATCTGATCATCCAGAGTCAGATGGTCAGACGGAACGTGCCAACCGTGTCCTTGAAGAGATACTTCGAGGATACGTACACTCCTTTAAGAGTTGGAGTGAGTTTTTGCCAATGGTAGAGTTTGCCATTAACAACTCGGTGCATGCGTCCACGACCCATACACCGTTTTACGTGAATGGCTTGCGCCATCCGCGTGTACCCACCTTACTAGAGTGTAACTCTGGTTTAAGGGGGGGAGGGACTCGCGCGAGCAAAAACCGATTTGGTTCACGCTCATCACGCTCTGACGAAGAGGTCATTGCGTTTGATGCCGATATCGATGACATCGATATCGAAGAAGATGATGCCAGTGAGAGTGCGGAAGCCCTCACTGAAGTAGATGATCCCAGTGAGAGTGCGGAAGCCCTCACTGAAGAACAGGTTAATGTTGCTGCAGTGCGCTCACAGCGCACTGAAGCTAACGAGTCATCAGATGAGTTCATACTGGCTCGTGAAACGGTAGTCCGTTTTGTGCAAGACTCCATCGCCGAAGCGGTGGATAAGCAAAAGCAAGACGCTGACAAGAATGGAAGGGCAAACACTCTTTTATTTAATAAAGGTGACTTAGTCCTACTGTCTACGGTTAATCTACCAGATCACGTAGTGACTAACGTGGGTAGCAGTAAACACTACCCAAGTACATCGGCCCATTTCGTGTATTGCACCGCCTAGGCAATGCATACACGATCGAGTTACCACGTAAGATGCGAACGCAACCCACGTTTTACGGTGGTCGGCTTAAGCCTTACCACCAGTACGCTGCTTCTTTCAATGAAGAACGCCCTTGCGCTCAAGCATCTCGCAGAGAGCCTTGTGCTTCCGATGGTGGGCATCACCAAGGGTCGAAAGAGCAGCTATCTCATCCCGAGACCGATCAACAATCCCACGAGCTACCCTTAGCTCGTCACGAAGAGATGTCAGAGATCTCTCGTTCTCAAGCTGAGCAAAGGCAAACTCAGCTCGATGCTTCGAGACAGTGTCCGCCATATGGAGACGCCTGTCCCGCTCATGTTCGAGATCGTTGCGTAACCCTTGCGTTACGCGATCAAAGAAGCTCTCGGGAACACACGGATCCCCATGATCGTGTGGAGAGCGTCTTTCCTCCTCCTCCACCTCCATTAGAGGACTCTCGCGGTGGCCAGCGCTATCTAGTTGAGCAGCTGTTGAACCACCGCGACGTGAACGGACGTCGGACGAGTTATCTCGTCCGGTGGCGCGGCTATCCCCCGTCCTGGGATACTTGGGAGCCCCGCCCCCAACTGATGATCGACGTACTGGGTCTGGTTGAGCAGTACGACGCGGCACATCCTGTGCCGCAGAAGGACCGCCGGAGAAAGTCTTCCCGGCACGGTCATTAAGGGATTTCAGGTTGCCAATCCCTTCGTACATCTCAGTAGAGATACGTACGCGCCACCACGGGCTATTAGGGAGGTAAGCCTCCTTAGGTGCTCGTGCAGAGTTGTTCACACAACATGGGCACAAGTCTCCCCAAGATAGGCAGAGTAATCCTTTCTCCCTTGACAGACGATGCAGCTTGTAGCGTGCACCTGTCGGGGTTCGCTTTTCAAACTTATCACGAGCTTTGATAAGTTTGTCGTTCCAAACGTCACGACCTACATCCTCAAGGTTATGGATGTAAGCGTTCCACGCCTGAAGCAGTGAGGTACCATCACGTTTGTGATTCCCACTGTACCATCGGTGTCTAAAGAAAGCATCGATGAAGAATTCATGTTCAGCGCGATAGTTTTTCGCGCTGGGGTCAAGGTGATGGATCCTTGACGAATCGAACAATCGTGTTCGATAACGATCACTCGTCGTCGCCGACAAGTGATCCATGACGGATTTTGGAGGCATCCATGCCTTCTTTTCAGGAGCGAGACGCAAGACATTGCGGTCCCGCTCTTCCTGCGACGTGCCGACAGAAGGACTGGCACCTCGTTGCGAAGTGGTGTCCATAGGAGAACCGACAACACTGTAGCGCCCGAGTCTCGCGACCTCGAGCGCCTTCGCTTCGGCGATGGTTCATCTGATTCATCAGATGAACCAAAGATGCTGCGACGCAAAGCATCGTCCATGCCACGCTTTGCAGGCGGCTTAGATTTAATCGCCGTCGATACGGATCCGTCTTCCGTATCAGGAGAGTATGATACACCGAGCTCGTACTCTGTGAAGACATGAGTGTCTTCATGACCAGCGCCTGCGTCCCCAAGTGACACAAGCTAAGTCGCTTCAGCAACCGATGAGACATCAGTTGCTGTAGTTTCTGCTTCGGCGTCCGCACAGAGACGTTCGGACGCGCTCTCGGCGGCCTTGCTCGCGCATCGCATGGGCTTGTTAACCATGCGATGAATTGTTGGAAAGTGGACTCGGACCAACAAGTGCAAACCCTGTCCCAAATGATTTGGGACGAGTATCCATTTAGTCAATCAGTCACTAAAGTGACTGATGGTTAAGGGGGAGGGTGATGTAACGGGGTGAATCGTTACATAAAAATTTATAAGAAATTGTTAATAGAATATAACTATAAGAGTTATATTCTCAGAATATTGTCATAAGGACAAATATTCTGTAGCACTTACGAGTAGTTCCTAATTGGTTGATATAGGCCATTATATCAACCAACGAAGACGCGCCACGACAGACGCACGCAATGAGTGGTGAGCAGATAGTTGATTTACACATTTGCGTATAGACATAGTTAGATGAAGATAAATAGTGATTTATTGCAGACATTAACTATTATAAATACAGTTCTACTTTTTACTTTAACCAAGTACTCGCTTCTTCTTACCGTCTTCCTCTGCACGTACGAGTGTACGTGAAGTTACGAGGCACCGCCTTATTCTGTCATCAGAATAAGTAGCTTGTACTGTCACCAGTACAAGCTTCAGGGTGCCCCGTTACAGCTAGTGTGAACAGGGAAAAAGACGCGCGGTGTGTTAAAGACTTATGTCGTGTACGTCAGCTGCGTACCATCGAGCGCGTAGCGCCGTATTTTGTAGCGCTTCAGTTTCGTTAATATCTCGAGTGACTTTCCACTAGAGTTTCTGAAAAAAATGATGATTCCCGTTTAGAAAGAATCAATCAATTCGACTTAAGAATCTGAGTACGAATTGATCGCACATGTGCGGAGATCATCGCATTGATCCCATCTCATCACAGCAGAACAAAAATTAATTGTCTTCGTTATTGGTACTACCATGCGTACGACCCATATCACATCGACAATTATAATGAGGATGTCGAGAAAGCGCGTCAGTAAGAACATTTTTATTCTTTCAGGGCTTGAAAAATACCACGAAATTATACCCTGAGACGTATAACAACCAGCGTGCCATACGCTTAGACAAATGCGGAGTCTTGACAACGGTTTGAAATGATGCGTGATCCGTGTAGAACAAAACATCTGTTCGCCGAGCAAATATATTCTTACTTTAATCAGCGCGTAACGCATGGCCGAAAGTTCCTTGTCGTGTATCAAATTATTTCTTTCTGTAAATTTTCATCTATCTTCACGACGCGCTCTCGGCCCTCATCATCAAATTGCATGAGGGCACATCTTAATGAGAAGATTCTCTCATCACAGACGACATGAAATTTATTCTAGTCATCAGAAAACAGTAGCACTGGTGCCTCAGACAAGCATTTTTTCCCGAATATAAAAGCAGGCTGATGTTCTAATTTCCATGATCAAATTGCGTCTTTCTTCAGCAGCGTCGATAGTGGCTATATTATATCGGCGCACTTGTTTGTACACTTATGCAAGTAATCAAGCAAATTAAGCTGTTGGTGTATCTCCGTTTGGGCCCTGGGTGTAGACCAAAAACATATCGACGACACTTCTTCTTGGGATTAGCACGGTGAATCATCTTCTAACATAGCATCCGAGTACTGGGTTATTGGTAGCCCCAAAAATACACGCTTCTTCAGCTTTGCGTATACACGGTTCTCGCGCGTAACTTGAAGTACCTGATTCAAAGGCTGAAGGTGAACCTCCTTAGCGCTAAGCAGTAGCTCAGTTCGTCTATGAACAGAAATTTCGTCGAAGTAGCTCGGTGCGAACTTGTGTAGCGGACGAAGCACTTGTAATCACATCCTGTTAAGCGTAGATGGAGCGTTCTTATGGCCTTGTGGTATGACCAGCCTCTCCCAAATTATCCCATGGGGTACTGACCGCAACAATTGCTGATTTCCTGTCTTTAGGCGAATCTGAAAAATTTATTAGTAACATCGATGGTACTGAAAAAATCGCTGTCGGACATGGTATCTGACACCATGTCTTTGCTTAAAATAGCGTTTTAGCCTGGATCGTGGCGTCTTTCAACGTGCTAAAAGCAGGCACAATGCGCCTACCGACGGTGGATTTCTTCACACAGAAATTAGGCCCAAACATAGCGAGATCCTTTAGCGAACATGGCATGCCTTACGACGGACCTTATAAATCATCGATTTTAATGACCCGGTCACGAGTTAGGGCCACTGCAGAATCACGCAATACTTCGATCCTTGCACAATATCAATCTCGTCTTGCACGACTCGATATGCCGTGAGCTCAGCGGGATTTTCTCCGAAAGGTATCAGCATACTCACGGGCAATATCTTAGATAGTTTTTCCTGAAGAACGAAGAGCTTCCCAATACTGTGCCGCAAAACGTTCTTCGCGCGCTGACCTAGGCTCAGGGCACTTCGGGCAAGCCTCCAAAACTTCTCCATTGTCTGCACCGGCGGCTAAAATAATGCACACCTGCTCGATGTCGCCGGCCTTGGGGTCGTGAAGAAAACAATTCCCACGATACGGCTGATAAAAATGTGATTTCTGCAACAATGCTCGAAGGAGGGCTACCTCAATGTAGCAGCCGCGATGTGAAATCCCATTTAAACTCAAGCGCGCATACGGATTCCGGTAAAAATGGAATAGTCTTCGTCAGTATTTGTACGATAGTTTTGTCCTCTCGACGATATGCGTGCTCATTCTTGCGTTTACGCTTTCTCTTGCGCCTCAAGAAGATGATAGAGGCTGGCATGTCGCTATCGCTGGTGGGTGATATGTCCCCTTTAGGCGTAGGAGCGCTGTCTCCACAACATCGTTTGCATTAGGTTCAAAAATCCACTCATTCTCGTCGATGGGAGGCGGAACTCGTCGTCTAACGCATCAGATACATGCGAAAGCCCGTTCTCGACCGCATCAGTAACAGTCGGGAGCTCGGCTTAGTCGACATGTGTGTAGACACAAAAGTCTCTGATCGATCGCCTCAATATTAATCGGGAGCCTCTGCTCGTCAGATGAAGTAGTACGCGGGAGCTCCTGCTAGACCGCCTCAATACTGATTGGAAGTCTCTGCTGTGCCGATGTCTCAGCACATGGGAGACCCTGATCTCTCGCCTCGCTAGGAATCTGGAGCCCCTGTTCGATCGATGTCCGCGTATGCGTAACCTCTGTTCGACCACCTCGTTGTTTGGCTTTATCAGTGTGACGAAACACAACGAGCACAGAGGGACATCACTCTCTCTTTGTTAGATCTAGTCGTGGCGAGTTCGCTCACTAACCTAAATTGAGTTCAATCGGATGACGAAATCAAAAGATAAGTGAGCACTTCCATCACGTTGTGCCCTCTATGTTGTCTGACGGACCGAGATATCCAGTCTTCTGTCAGCTAATACTGTGACAGCCA